AGCAAGGATCTTGGAAACGCAGCCGTGGGAGACCCGCAGCTGGCGGCTGATGTCGCAGGGCCGCATACCGAGCTGCGCCAACTCCACGATCCGCAGACGCACCGGGTTCGGCAGCGGGCGGCCGTTCACGAACACCCCGCCGAGCTGATTCACCTCCCCGTAGCTCTGCTCTGCAACACGGGGGGAGAGGTGTGACCGAGCCGCTCGGGTGTAAAGCGGGAGCAGGTTTAAAGGCTTCGCAGGAAACATCTTATTATTATTTTAAGAAAGTTATAAACCCTGTTCTCAAAATAAACGTCTCCGTTAAACGACGTTAAATGTGTGACCGTGTTAGTTTTTCCTGTTTAAACATAAATCAGATTTTAACTGTTATTTAAATGATAAACATTAAACAAATGACTGAAGATTATTTAACCAGAATAATGATTACATTTATTACGTTATCCATGGCATTAATACATGTTATTAACGTTAATTTAAAACTTTTAGTGTATTTTTGTTTAATTCACTTATAAAATATGCAAATAAAACAAACATTTTTAAGCTTCTTTATGTGATAGCTACTTGAAAAATAAATCCATAACAATACACGTTTTATTAAAGTTTATCTCCGAAAAAACGACAAATTTGTAATTTGTTTCTGATTTTCTGTCTCAATCTCCAGCTTTTTTATACTAAACACGTAGATTAAATTAATTTAAGTGACTGAATGTTTAACGCATTAAATGAGGCTGAGATCTTACTGGCTGATGAGGCTGATGTGTGTTTGTGTGCACAGATTAAATCCACTCTTCAATTATAGATCTGATTTTCTTGCTAACTCTACATGCAGCTCAGCTGAGGATTCATCTGTGGTGTTAGTGCAGCGCTGCACTTTCTGATTATTTCTGTTCATCTGCTGTACTAAAAGAATCTTCTTATAGCTTAAAATTCAGCCTTAAAACTTTCTGGCTCCATTTGAGGAGATTTCTGGGTGTTAATAGGACAAAAAAGCTTTTCGCAAGTTGGTAGCAAAAATTATTTATTTGAGAATTTAAATCACTGCTGAATGAACCAGTTTGTTCTCTTAATACTTCGTTTATGTTTTGGGGAAGCTGTGTGTTCCTCTGGCAGTCGTGTAACAGTCATTTAAATGCATTCACTGGAGTCTAGACTCTCACTTTGTCCTCTCTGTTTGTGCACATCTATCATCAGTCAGAGGCATTTTTAAAAATCGTATATTTATTGTTCTTGTTTATTGTTCATCATTAGCACGCACTCTTCATTTCACCTGCAGCTTTCCTGGTTAGATAAATGAGGAAGGAAGGAGTTTAATTTGACTGACTGCAGCAGACTAAAGCTCAGACACGTTTCTGCAAACACTGAGTGATAAATTCATAAACTTTAAAAAATGTTGTCTGTCTGTTTTTTTTTTAAATCAAATATAAATCTTGCCTTTACCCTGCATAATCTCCGGTCTACTCTGGATTCTTTTATAGGTGTATGCATACTTTGTAACTCTGAAAACACTTTTAATATTTATTAAAAGTGTTATTAATGCACAACAACAGTTTAAAGAGGCTGTAGCACACAGATCAGCTCATTTTAGTTTAGAAGCACCTCGGCGTCCTATTTTGTGTTCACTTTACTTGCTGCTGGTATAGCTACACTGTGTCACATTTTAAAAGATAGTCAAGCAACAATGCAGCTTTTCTTCAATAAAACACTCCAGAAAAGATGAAATCTCCTCCAAATCTCACATAAATCCCTTTTCTCTTCTTCAGAGTCACCTTCAGGTTAAATCTGTATTAAACTCACCCATCAGCTGCCGTCCACAACGTCTCACCGCTCCACCATCCAACCCTCCGACTGCAGCCTGCAGCAATCTGAAGAGATTTGAACCACCACCACCTCCTCCTCGTCCTCTTCCTTCTCCTCATTTCCTGCTTGCAGGCTGTCATCAGAAATACGAGAGTTCCTGAAGGGCTCTGAAAGCTGGATTTCTTTTCTCCCATGTCCACATGTTGACATTGAACTCATCTTGAGCTGTTTATTTCCCCCCAGAGAGGACAGCAGCTGCCAAAGGATCTGTTTAAAGGACAACACAACGAACTTACATCACTGGAAAGAGTTTGTTCAAAGCCACTCTGTGTGTGCATGTTAAACAGAACTGACAAATAAATAATAAGATAATAAGGCACCACAAAGAATTTTTTAAAAAGTCCAGAAATAAATAACAACAACAAAACCAGGCTCATTACAACTTGTAAATTTTTTTATAGTTTTATTTATGATCATTGATTCAACTGCAAAATTAAACCCACCTGTAATGTACGCAGTCCAAACTGGTGACTGAACACAGCAGGTCAAATTCCCCTCAAGTCACAAAGTGCACAGCAGTGCTATAGACTGCTGTTCCACAAAATCAGTCCATTAATTTAATTAAATACAAAACAAAGAACAGGTTGTTTGGTACCAACCGTCATCCTCCTGCAAAACGAAACCAGCATCTCGTTAACAAAACCTGCAGTTCCCCTAATGCCCACTTGAGGTTGCCTCTAAAAACGAGTGATTCCTCACAGACTCCCTCATTAAAACACTAATTTACAGCTGAAGTAAACGTGTTTACAGAACTGACCTCTGTAGATTGTTCCCCCTTCACAAAAAGTGTTTAAAGTTTTCTTTATTTATTTGATCTGAACCTGGTGGGTACTGCAGTGGTTGCTTTGACTGGCAGGTGAGCTGACACAGCAGGTAGCTGCAGTCGCCTGGTTGTCCTTCACTCAGTAAATGAGCATGTCAAAGCAGCTACTGTAGTGGAGTCTCTCTAGTCTCTCCTGGAGTCTGTGCATTTTTATTGCAGCTGTCTGATTAATATTATGACCTGTGGAGTTTTATTAAACTGTTATTTCGCACTAATTAGCGACTATCTGTGTCTGTGTGCAGCACCTGTACAGCTTTGTGAAGCAAATTAGCACCTTCTTATTGATACAAGCCAACTTCTGGTTTTATTGAATGCAGCACAGCAGTGGCTAAAATACCCATCTTGAGGTTTCAAAATGCAGGGCCAAAAACCAGCCGGTGACACGACGTCCATCTATTATATACAGTCTATGGTGCCAGCATAGGCAGCTGTAGTCCTATAATTTGAGTCGCGTTGCTGCACCTTTGAATTCCAACCCCATGTGCTTAGCCCCTTCAGTGATTTGGTAATTTTTTCTCTTGATCTTATTCGACCCATGACACCAGCACCTGTCACTCCACATGCACCCAGAGATTTTATTTTTTACAGAATAAATAAACTAATAAACAAATCTGTTTCATTATAGCTAAAACTGCCGAGCAGTATACAAATGATTAAAATCATTTCCAGCCTTAGCATTAAAGTGATATACAGTAATATTGATCCAATAATATTCTGTCTGATCAGTACTTTTACTTTGGGTTCTTTAAGTATGTTTGATGTGAAAACTTTAGCTTTTTGACTTAAGCAGGATTATAACTTTTACAAAGTACTTTGCAAAACAGTGATAACATATGAAATGTAAAATATGAAAAAAATCTTTTTTGGGCACTGCTTCAGTACACAGGCTGCACAGGAGCCTTGAAATCATTGTTTCGCAGATTTTAAATATTCTATTTCATCTTGTACGCAGATATATTTAATTACCGCTTTCTTCCTCATTTACACCGCACATTTCACTCACACCGGACTTTTGTTTCTTTGGTTTAGGAGCCAGGGTGCCCCTAAACCAAGTTCATTCCCTTCATTTGAAAGCATCCACTGATCTGTTTTCCCCTTTTATTTATGATTCATGTTTTAAATCATACGTCTTGCTTTTGAGCTGTTACAATCTCAAAAAGCAACATCTGAATGTTCACTTGGGATTTTAAATTGCACAGTTTTAAAAGAATATCTGTGACTATTAACCGCCACACTCAGTAAGAAACGCTAAATACTGCCTGACTGACTCTGGTTTCTAATGTAGCGGCGCCTCCTTTTGGAAGATTGCCTGCATTACAGCTCCGCTCCCACCTCACTGGAGACGAGATCCACTGTTACTGTCTGAACATTTAAACACCCAGCAGGGCTTCACTGGCCAGTTTTGTTTTGCCACAAAATTAACAAAAAAATAAAAAAATAAAAAAATCAGAAACTACAAGACGCCCCTGCTCACAATGATTTGTCCATTCATTTTGCATTCAAGTTTTTCTCGTTACAAACCTTTACAAACCAAGAGTGTCTGCTATTTGGGATTTGTACACATTTCTTAAACTGATGGTTTGCTGTAATAATAATAATCCTACCAAACAGATCTCTTACACAAATCCAGATTTAATCAAGTATCAAATGAAGTTAGGGGAGTTAAAGAGTTCCTTTTGTGTTAGTAAGTTCACTGTAAGCAAAACACACAACAAATCAACACAATATAAACTTCCTATGTTACACAGGAACTAAACTCTGTAAGGAGGTCCACACCGTGAATTTGTCATATTGAAAATATTCTGTGGTTCAGACCGATCCCTGATCTTCACTTAATCATATTATGAAGGAAATGAATCTCTGAGTCTCTGGGAGGGTGTTGTTTGTCCTGGATTTTTAATATCCAGCCTCAGTGGTACTAGCTGCAGGTCCTTCCCTAGACAGCAGGGGGCAGTCTGAATTCATAATTGTACGGCATTGGACTGGATATCCATTTAAAGCTTCCAGCAGGGACTTTGGGACTCTCTCCTTCTCTAAAATGTTACATTTTACAGGTTTTTAAATGACTGCAGCTCAATTTATAATTTACCTTTTTGTTCTTTTTGTATTAGGGAGCATCTGATGTTTTCTCCAGGTGTGTAAAGTCTCTGATAGCCATAAGAAATTTTGCCTTTATAAGGAAAACAAAGACATAAAATATGATAGGATGAAGAACAGTGGATCCAGGGTGAACTTTAGTCAAAAAAGTCACACTCATTCAGGAGTGTTGCACTCCATATTTTAACCCCTTTTATTAGTGCACTGTGTCCCATCAGGGGCCACAATTTGAAAGAAAGAAACTAAAGGAAGAAAAAAAATGTATCAAAAAAAGCTAAATGTGACCGTCTCCCTTATGGATTTATTAAAAAAAAAATTCTGAATCAGATGCTGATTAACAGATAAATCTAAAAATAGAAATAAATAAATATTATGTATAAATATAAGAAATAAATAACAGTTTAAAAAATATATCACAATGTGTGTTTTACTGGTTTCTCCTCAGTGAACCAGTTCATCCAGTTCCTCTGTGCAGCGTGTGAAAAGTTTTACACTGCAGCTGAATCTAGTGAGCATACTGAGAAAGAACTTTTCAGCCCCCTCTTTCCATGTATTCTTTCAGTTTGGTGTCTCAGCTGCTCTTTTATGTCACATTTCTCAGTGTTAAAGAGGAAAAAAATAGAATATTCAATGTGTTTGTTTGGAGGCTGTAAATGTGGTAATTATGTTTTATTATTTTACAAACAAAATGAAAAACCCGAACCTGAATCATTGTGTTACCAGCTGACATATGAGAAACATAAAAAATATATTTTTATTTAGTTATATATCGACTTCTTAATTCACTGTTCGAGAACACTCTCATTTTCTATTTTTGTTATGATTTAACACTTCATGTTTTATTACCATTTATTTTCTTCTTAAAACTGAATTTTACTGTGAGTGTAATTTTATTCAAATTCATTGTATTTTATGTATTTATTTATTTATGTTAATTCATATGTGTGTGTTTTGTATTTTATTGTGATTTTGTTTATGTTTCATTTTGATTTCTTTTATTTTAACAGATTGTTACCAGTTTTTTGCCTTTTTTTAAATCTATTTATTATTATTTTAATT